TACGCGCGATTAAAACGCCTATTGAACCCGGACGTCGTCCGTTCCTAAGGGCGATGATCTCCTAAGTACAAAGCGTACACCGGTCGACAAGGATGGTCTCAACCAACCGTGAAACCTCCTTGCCCCTTTAAACACTAGTCAAAAGAAAGTTATAACAATCACACATAGTTATACCAAAAGGAACTGTATTTAGTCGATAGGAATGTGTATCCCATCTGCAATGGTAATTGAAAGAATCAAAATCATCATTAGATACCCAAGATCAAAATAAAACTCGACCATCCCGAGTCGATCTCCACAAAAATCATACAGCCGCCAACGAGGAGTTGGCTTTAGACAATAACATATATGCAGCCGACACGGTGGTCGGACAACCTTAGTTTTGACTTGATGAGATGCGCTGCCGAGGTTATTCATTCCATATACCGCCGACCTAAGATTAAACACGTACATTCGTCTTCATGGATCCTTAGTTTTCTTGGATGTCACGCTGTTTTGTGAATGATTCTTGATCAGGTGCATTCCTTGAGGTGTTGCATATCTCTCCCTCTAGGAAGTGGTCTGAGGTACTCCTCCTCGCCCGAGCACAAGACTCCGATCACAGAAGTCGGGCCGTCTCCACCGAATCGGCGAAGTACCCCCCCCGTAGAACGGTCCACTCTGGTTCGATAACAGGGCCGGCTCCTAAAGCAACGAACCCCCACCCCAGATGCTTCCTTGAAAGAGAGAAAGTGTCCACCGCAAGTAAATTTGCAGTTGTTCTTATCCTCCCCAGCCTAAGGTAATTTAGACGAAAAGAGTCAGAGGTGATTGAAATGAGAATCATTTGGACAGGTAAAGGTAGATAAAGTCATTCGGGGTAGAAAGGGTCAATCCTTGGGAAGAGTTAAATTCATTATGCTTTGATTCTCTTTTTGTTTTCAAAATTCCTTTTCTCACGGCACCCATCGATTATCCTTCAGAAATAGCAAGCAAGTTCACCCAACTCACTGATGAAAACAAAAAGGTAAGGAGGCGAAAATCTCCATCATTTTGTCAAATAGCATTTTGTCCCACTTTCATACATAGTCTTTTTACTCGCCTGCACACCGTGCAGACAACACAATCAGACAAGCGAAGTCCCACTACTCACGTCAGACCCACCTTTTCACTCATGCATGACGCCCAGAACCCTACTCAACCTTTTCTCCTGAATATTCAAAGCAAAAGGGTCAAGCAATGTGTGGGTGCACACAGGCGTGAAGGGAGTCTGAGTCGTCCACTGACTATTTAACTGACCTTGAGTGAAGTTGAACGACACACTCAAGAAGACCGTATAGAATTACGCCCCTATGACGTGAAGGTTGTCGCCCCCAGTCGTCAGCAAAGTGATCTACACCAGTCCTTAAAACAATCACTTATCGCGAAACTCGTTCAATATAATTACTTCCCCACAGTCTGACGGCGTCTTCCCGTTATCGTCACTCGCCTTCAACGCCACTGTGTTACTGCGGCGTCACGCTCACGCCACTTCAAAATGTAATACCACTTTAGCGGCACCTTCCCTGCGCCAATGTCCAATCGCCGCTCGGTGCAGAAATACTGCTGACACCACCGTGAAATCAGTGTCGTTGCTGCAAAAAAACTCGACAGCGCTTCCACACGTCTGCCGTTAAAATCAGTGTCGTCACCGCAAAAATCCAGCAGAGCTTCCGCACCACCGCCGTAAAAACCAGAACCGCCGCCACAAAAATCCAGCAGCGCTTTCGCACCACCGCATTAAGAAACAGAGCTGCCACCGAAAAAATTTGGCGGCGCTTCCGCACCACCGCCGTTAAAACCAAAGCCGCCGCCGCAAAAATTCGGCAGCGCTTCCGCACTACTAAAAACCAAAACCGCTGCTGCAAAAATCCGGCAGTGCTTCTGCACCACTGTCGTAAAACCAGAGCTGCCGCCGTAGTCCCGCAACGTCCTTGGCTCCGTCCCGTTGGACCAGCACCAGCCAGAAGGGAGGGGAGAAGAGTGCTCCCTGCCTTGGCTATGGCTGTCCTCCTCCTTGTCCGACGCTCCTTTCCAGTCCACCAGCTCTGCCGGCAGCACTCCTGCCTCCTTTCCAGCACTCCAGCAATGAGGCAAGTGTGCTGTCACACACTGGCAGTTGGAGGCAAATGTGAGGCAGCTAGGGGACAGCTGCCTCTTTTGTAGTGGCTGAGGAGGGCAGCAGCAGCCTCAGCTGCCCCCAGGCAAAATTCGTCACTTGCCTTGGGCCGTTGATCTGAGCTAGATCAACGGACTGAGGCTGTCTCACCTCAGCCACACACTTAGGGTGACAGTTGTACTCAACTGCCCCCCTCTTTTTCTCCCTTTTCCCTGCACTCAGCTCCACACTCAGTGCACGTTCAGCGGGAAAATGGCTGTTTGCAGCCAAGTTCCCCTCACTAACCCTCCAGTTCACAGCTCTGGCCTGAATGACTACATTCAGGCCAATACTGCTTGAATTTAGGGCACGGCCGCGGCCACGTTCGCGGCCGTGACTGTTCCTTTCTCTCCCCTCTCTGCTTTTCCCCCTCTGCCCCTCCCCTGAAAACGGGGAGGATAGTTGTGAGGTTGGGAGAGGTAGGTCCTCCCTCTCCCAGTCTCCCATTTCCCTCTCTATCCTTCTCTTCAACTTCCTCAACTTTCCGCGTTTGCACTGTGGGCCGAAGTGGGAGCCTTTGTGCTCCCACACAGTCTGCAAAGACTGTTCTTTTGTTTGTTTCCCCCCCCGCCTTTTTTTTTTTTTTTTACAGTTCTTAATTTGTTTGTTTCAGCCCCCCTCGTTTTCCCTGTTTGTTTGAGCCTCGATGGCTACGAACGTGGGAACAAAGAAAAGAACTCAAAAAGAGAAAAAAAATAAAAAAATAAAAATAAAACGAACTTACCTGCTTGACGTGCTAACGCCCAGAGAAAGGCGCCTGCACACCCCCCTGATCTGGGGGTGGATTCATTCTGTTTTGCCCATCCTTAGATGGGCTGTCGGGGTCCAACCCCCTGATGAGTCGGAGCAAACCCGATGAAACAGCCTGGCATT